AAGAGGGGTGGGTGGGGAAATGCATGCAGGGGTATGAAGACAGCCCAAGGATTCCCAGAGACTCAGGAGGAAACCCGTTGGAAATAAATGTGTTATTATTATTGTGTTACTGTGTTGTGAAGATAAGAAATCATTGTGTATGCTAAAGCTTTCTCCTCAATAAAAATATAAAGGGTGTGTAAAGACTGTGTCTGTCTGGGTTATTGAGCAAGCATAGGTGGGTACCCAGAGGCATCAGGCACTTTCCAGGCACCTTGCCTGAAGTAACCCTAGCCGGAAACCTTCAATCCTTAGATTAGGAAACTAAGGCCCAGTGAGGCTCAAGGGACCTACCTAGAGTCCTCTGCGCATTTGTATCAGAAGGAAGTAGAGGGACTAGGCATTTGAAAAATATTATTAGTTCTCCACTTACTGGGATATAAAGGTATGAGTGGCCCAGCTGTACCACCCTATAACAGCACCCCTGTCCCCCGCCTGCCTCCAAAACACACACACACACACACACACACACACGTGTTTGAAGGGAGGGAGGGAGGCCAGGCCGGTGAGGCAGGAGGACCCTTTCACTTTGGGGCACTAGGTGGTGCTATGTGACACCAGTAGACTAGCTGGTGAAGATTTTTAAACAGCAACACAGCAGTCCACTCAAAAGCCCTCCCAGCAAGATTTCACTGCCCTCATAGCATGTGGATCAGAAGAAATTGAATCCCATTCGGGATCTGCTCAAGTTTTCCAGCCATGAATTGGAAATGTTTTTCCTGGTACAATGGGTGGGAAGGTTTATTGAGCCCCTTGCTAGGTACAAGTGCTGAGCCACACACTTGATGTCCATTATCTCAGTTCATTTACACTCATCTTACAGATGAGGAAAGAGGCTTAGAGAGAAGTCACTGGCCCAAGGTTTACAGGTGGTAAGTAGCTCTTTCTCAGCCCCACAACTGCTCAGTAGTCAGCTCCTCTCTGCCTCCACTCACTGTCTTCAGGGTCTGCCCCGTCCTGCCCACCCTCCCCCCAGATTACAGAAGTGCAGTGAGAGACAAAGCCCCATTTCAGAGGTACATTGGCTTTACCCCTTTCAGGAGAACGAAGGAAGAAAGGACATAAGGAAGGAAGGGAAGGAGGGAGGTAACCAGCGCATTTCTGACCATGTGCCAGGCACTTTCACCAACATCATATAATTTCATTCTCACAACAACTCAGTAAGGCACTTAATGCTGTCTCCTTTTAGAGGTGAGGGACATGAATCTTAGAGATATTAGGCTCCATAGGGGACTCAGGTTTGTGTGACTCCCAAACTCACAGTCTCTCAACTCTAATCCACTATGCTGTTTTCCAGGAAAGCCTCTGATGAGCCAAAGCCTCAGCCTGACTGGATTCTGGGTCTTTGCCCAAGCAACAAGGTATGCATCAGGTGTGCGATCTCTGGAGGCTCTGGGAGAACCAGCCAGGTGGCAGTTCTGCCCTGCAGAGAAAAGCAGGCAGTGGTAGTGCCGAGTTTGTGGTGATGAGCTTGTATGAGTGTGTGGCTGACTGTCCCTCTAGGGAAGGACAGGGCTGTAGGGCCGTGAGCTGTGTCTGTGAGCCCTGGGGCGCCCTGTTCTACTTCAGGGGTCAGATAAGGTCTCCAGCACCCCTGGAGTTTCTAATGCTTATTGTTGGTAGGGATAGGTGAGCCCAGATTGTATCATGACCCATCAGAGCAGGTGGGGGAAACTAAGATGAGCAGGATGAGCCTTGCCCAACCTTGTAGCTGGAAGCCCCATGAGTATAGGGAACAGGGTCCTGGATTCCAGTCTGATCCTGCCACTGACTCCATTTGGAACTTGCGTGAGTCCCATTCCTGCTCAGGCAACAGTCACTGGGGCCTAGCACACAGCTGGGTACACAGTAGGATTTCAATCTTAGTTTGGTACATAAATGAAGAAATGAGTGAATAAGTGGGCTGCTGGATGAAGACCTAGAGGTTGCCTGCTAGAGGCATTTACAGATTGCATGAAGCCTGGAGGACTAGAGGCTTTCCTCCAAAATGGAATCAGAATCCAGATTTCCCTATCCTGGAAGAATGCGTTGAGATGGCCTTTGCCAGGTGCACATGTGAGATCTTGCAGTCAGGTTCAGAAACCAACTGCAGGAACCTGAGTGGGGAAGAAACTTGTGGGGGGAAAAATCTGAGCCCTGGCCAGTTTGGCTCAGTGATCGGAGCCTCGGCCCGCAGACTGAGGGGTCCCGGGTTAGATTCTGGCCAAGGGCACATACCTTGGTTGCCGGCTTGGCCCTGGTGGGGGCTCGAGTAAGAGGTGACCACTTGATGTGTCTCTCTCACATCCATGTTTCTCTCTCTTTCTCTCCCTTCCACTATCTCTGAAAAAATAAAATAAAATAAAATCTTAAAAAAAAACACCTGAGAACTTCAGTTGATGGGGTTCAGGATGAATCAGCAGACTGGGTGCCGGAAATGCTAATGTCTTCCTGGGCTGCTGCAGCAGAGGAGGGGGTTCTAGAGATGGGCAGGACTCGCCTAGGGTACTGGCCAGCCAATGGAATGTGACCAGGCTGTATCTCACAGAAGCCTTTCTGCATGCCAGGAGTAAGGAAATATTAGAATAAAAGAAAAGCAGAAGGAAGAAAAGAATGGGAGCAGTAGAAGAGAGACAAGGATGGTGAGGGTCATAAAAATCCTGTTCCCAAGGGATGGAGGAAGGCAGAGGATATCTTGCTGAACCCACTGTTCCCCTCATTCATTCTGCAAGGAAACTGGCAGCTCAAGGTCACTTGCTTCATCTGCAGAATTCTACTCCAGCAGTTTCATATTCAGAACTCTTAACGGCACCCTTCACTCACACCTACACTGATGGAGTCAGAATTTCCAGGAATTTCTATTTCTAAAAAGCACCCTAAGCAAGTCTAATGCCCAGCCCAGCCCGGTACAGAAAAGACTAACTAGTTCATGGACATATAATGGCCAGTTTGGTTTTGAGCCTTCCCGTAGAGCTCTCCAGAGCAGAAACCAGCCTGGAGATTCCCCACTAAGCACATAGTAAGTGATCAAATATATTTGTGTAATGACCCCAGCATGCCCCATGGTTTGGTGTGAGCTTGCCCCTGCTGGACACCTGCTCAGATGCACCCCCCTGAGAATGAGGTGACATAGGGCGGGTGCAGAAGTCTGGCTCTGAGAAAACAGGTTCATAGGAGCCTAAACCTTATCTTTGACCACCAGAACTGACTCACATGGGGCCCTTTCCCCTCCCAGAAAATAAGGACAGGCATTAACAAAACAAGAGATTACCCTCAATTTGGGGGTTCTTCACCTCCCACTAGCACTTCTTGCATCCTGCCCAGACTAGGGAAAGCTTTGCAGGCCACTTCTCCCCAAGGATTCAACAGACACAGAAACACAAAGCCCAGAGTTCTTGGTTGCCCTGGTAACAGCAGTACTTACTGGGAAGAAAACAGTCTCTGAAAGGCTTAGGAGGGTGGATATTTCCTGTGACAGAGGGCAGACTCTGACCTGCTTTTTAGTCCCCTCGCCCCTTCATGCCTGCCACACTTTGGGATAGAGCTGAGGCCCCTCACCTCAGCAACTCTAGTGGGCAATGGGTGAAGGTGATGAAAAATAGGGCCCTTGCTTTTTATTCTGCTTTTGTAGACTGTTAATATGAGGAAGAGGCTAAAATGGAAGGTGTTAGCATGTGAATTCATGGTGACTGTCCTCTGGAAAGAGGAAATGTTGCTTCACAGGACCCATACACAACCAAACTTGAAGAGGGCAAGTGCCCTCAGCAATTACAGTCCTAGCAGTTCCTCACTACAGAGGAGACATAAGTCAGAAAGAGTGTCTAGAAGTTCCAGAGTTCTCCCCACAAGTTCAGCCCCTCCTCACTTCTCATCTGGACTACTGACGTAACCTCCTTGCTGGTCTATCCAGCCTCTAGTCTCTACTCCTTCTAATAAATTCACCTTCTGCATGCTTGGGGGTGGGTGGGTAGGCCCTGTTGCTCCTATACAAAAACCCTTCTGGGGCTTTCCTTCCTCTGTTAGGAGACTTGTGGACCTGATGCTGACATTCTTCACTATCTGCTCATAAAATATGTAGGCCATCTCACCTCCCCATGTCATCCCTCTTCCCTCTTCCAGTTACTTCCTTTTTTCCTTACATACGAAAGCCTTTCATGTCTCTGGGCTTTTGCACACCCTATTCCCTCTGCCTTAAAAATTCATAAAGGCTCCTTGCCCCACTCCAATTGGCAATTAACTCAGCTCATAGACCACTTCCTCCAGGAGGCAGCCTTCGCTCCCCAGACACGCTCCTGCCTCTCTGAGTCCCTATTCACTTCCCCAACCCCATTGCTCTGTGTGAGGCTTGAGTCGTTCCTGAGACCAGAGGCTGGTTCATGACTCCAAATGAGTTCGTTGCTGCAAAGCTGATGTTCAGTATGAGAACAGGCACAGGCACTTGTCCCCTTCACAGGTGGGTCTGCATTGTCAGTAGCCTTTTGGAGAAGCACTGGCATCCTAAGATCAGGCTGAGGGCTGATAGTATGCAAATGGATCTGGGAGCACCCCCATCCTATCAAGTTGGAGATGTGGACAGTAAGGAATAGTTTGGAAAGAGAAACCAGGAGCTTACAGAGCTGGTTGTTCATTCGCAATTGAGTACTCTGTTGATGGTTTCTGCCTCTTTGAGGGGCCATCACTCCCTCTTAGTGGTGTGGTAGAGAGTGACCTCCACTTGGCTTCAGTCACATAGACTTGTCTTTGAACCCTGGCTCTGCCACTTCCTTGTCGTGTACCCTTGGGTTGGTTATTTTCCCTCTCTAAGTTCCAGTTTCCTTTTTCTAAA